CGTCGACGTGATCGTCATCGTCAAGCAACCACTCAAGTTGAAACCATCAATGGGCCCATTACACATCAACAGGAGGCTGAGATCTTGTCAGAATACGAATCAGATGACAATTTTTACTGAACTATCATCAACATTTTTAATTGAAGACAACAGTTTCAATAACTGTCACATTCTTATCACTTCACACATACCCTTTAATATTTTCCCCTCTCATTATGTTCAATAATCTTTTTTGTCCCTAATGTCGCCTAATTACAGTAATAACAGATTATCCTCGTTAAAAGCTATATAATTTTATCAGAATACCACTTTATCTTGGTGAATAAGCTTTCATTCTGACAAAAACTATTTGAAGCATTACAAAAACTATTTGAAGCATTATATATTATTGATTTTCCACCGAAATTGACCATGTCTTGTTGTGAGAGATTTCCATTCTGTTTAGCATTTTCGAGATCGCTGGATCCATCTATGTTCAGGTGACTGTCTCCAAAACACCTCTCTTCGGCGATAAGGTTTTTCTGAAATCAAAATTTGTTTTTCGCCAGCGTTCATTGGATAATTCCAACCTCAATGTCTGTTTTTTTACCGTAGAATTGCTGATTGATGGGCATAGACTCTGAAAACGAGGACTGAAAAATTGGTATGCTAAAAGAGGTTGAAGTGTCATATTTTTTAACGTTTTTTATTGATTCGTGAACACATTTTCTGGCGCTAAAATGAATTACTAGACTAATTTCCCATTGCCTAGGTCCCCGAAGTCTGATCCTTGGGTATGCAGCGCAACTTTTTGGCATAGCCCTTCCACAGCCCAACAATGTACCACGTAATCTACGTAAAAATGTACTTCTGATCCCTAATTTCCTTGGAGAACCCACTGTTATTCAGATAGACCCGGCCGGCTGGCTGTTGTATTCTTACTCGTTCAATCTGCCCGAAATCCCACTTACTTTGCTTAGACAGTGTCTTCATGGAATCGAGTTGGTTTTCTTGATAGCCATAGTTTGG